GCGCCCAGGGCCCGAGGGGGCGGATCGCAGACCTCTGGCCTCGGCTCCCCTCGCGGGCGCCCCCGACCCGCAGCCACCCCGCGAGGAGTCCCCGCAGGCCCCGCCCCACGCCGAGGTGGCCTGGACCGGGAGGGCGGGGGAGTCGGAGCACCGCATGCGTTCATTCATGATTTTCTCCTTCAGGGAGCCCTGGGTCTGGGCTGCGCGGCTACGGAGACCGCCAGAGGGACTTCAGCAGGGCCGGTGGCGCCGAGGCTGGGTCAGGGTAGACAGGCAGACAGACGCGGGTAGAGGCATGCGAGACAAAGGGGTCCGAGCTGGGGCGGGTACGGAAGGGTGCTGACGCCTGCAAGGTGTGGCGCTGACCTCAGATGCGGACTCGCGCGCACGCGGGGCGCTCCCGGGCGCACGGAGCGGGGTGCCCAGCACCGTTCCACACCCGGGAGAGGCGTCCGTTTTCCGCCCCCCCGGCCCCCGTCCAGTCTCTGGGGAGCCAGAGCGAGTGGACACTTCTTCCTCCCAGTGGAGCCCTCCTGACAGGCGTCGCGGGGCGCGCACCTGTTTTGCCTTTCTCGTGGGCAGCAGGGCCCCAGACGTTCAAAGAGCTGTCCGTGCCCCCCAACCCTACATTTCCCAGGCCGGCACCCCGCTACTGCGAGGTTCCAGATATCGCGTCCCGATGGGGGCTTTCTGAGGTACTGGGCTGCACTCGGAGCGTGGGTCCTACTCCCTGTTTTTGCGCGAGGAGCCGAGGGGAACGCCACACGGCTTTTTTGCCAGGATTTGCGCAGTAGTCTTTTAAAATTCAGCTCCCAGGCTCCACTCCTGGCTCTCTGCAGCTGATCCTCTACGCTACAGCAGAGCAGAGCAATCCTTTTAGAATGTGAGCCAGATAACCTTGTTTCTTTACTGGAAATCCATCCTTGAATTTACTGGAAATGCGAGTGAAAGCTAGAGCCCCCTCGTATGGGCCCTTCGCGTTCTCTAAGCCCACCTCCTGCTGTTCCCTCCTGGCTCCCCCGCGCCCGCAGAACTGGCCTGTCTACCGCAGCGCCCACGCGACAGCCACCCCACGGCCTTAGGATCACCGCATACGGCGCTTTCGGCCTGGAGGGCCTCACCCCATGCTTTGCCTAATTTCCAAGGTCCAGCTCGAGTCCCACTCGCTTCTCCAGGGAACCTCCCTGATGTGTCGCGCTCACAGTCCTCAGCGCTTTGTGTATGCTGCGATGGAATTTTCTTGTCCTTTCTCGAGCTGCACTTCTCACCTAGATTCACTTTCTCCTGGGAAAGGGGGCTGGTTGTCCTTGTAGGGCCCAAAAATGACCTTGAAAAGCCAGAGCTGCCTCTCGAACTTTCACAGCTATGTGCAGGGCTGTCAGTGTGCGTCACGCCGCCCGTCTCAAAGGGTTAAAAGTGAAAGTATGCCTAGAAAATGGTAAGGGTTCAGAAATGATCTTTCTCTGTCCAGCGTGGTGTTGCTGGCCTATGATCCTTAGCACCTGGGAAGGCTGAGGCAGGAAGAACTCAGCAAGTTGGAGTCCAGCTCTGGCAAGTTAGACTTAGCAAGACCTTGACCTTGTCTCAAAAGAACAAACAAAAAAGCTTGGAGGATGTACCCCCTTTTCAAAAGCTCTGGGTTCTGTCTCTATTACCCCATCCCCAAATTGTTCTTTTTCCGTTTTGTAGTGAGTTTCTATTAAGGAAAGCTATCGTTCCACTAGTCTTCTCACCCTGTTTCTGCCCTGTCCGCCTTCTTACTGAAGAGTTTCAGATTCCCACAGCTCACTGAATGTCACCCTGGGGTGCAGTTAAGAAGGAAGAGGGGAATATTTATCATGGAAGGCTTTACAAATAAGCCGTGCCTGTTGCTTCAGGAGGTTCTCTCCTGTCATCTTTACAAGCACCTGAGGAGGGAGGTACTGTTATCACCAGCGGGCAGCTGAGCCTCAGTAGAGGTCCAGGGATTTGCTGTGGGCACAAAGCTCACTTGCGCATGGCAGTGATGAGATCCTAGCCTTCGTGTGACGGAACGCTGGGCCAGCAGGCCTTCCGCACCCCTTCACCATGGAAAGTGGCCCCAGGGATTTCTTTTCCCCTCTCCAGCTGGGGAGCAGAAGGCCTGTGGCAGTGATGTAGTCATGAGGTCAGGAGGATTTAGGAGGCTTTTTGAGTCATTTCGTGTGACTCATCTACCCTCTGTTGTTGGTGGGAGGAAGAGGGTTTTGGGAAAGAGGAGGAAGGAAAGAGAAAGATGGTCTGAGGAGCCAGAGCCTGTCTTGTTGGTGGTTTTTGATGGACTCTCAAGAACCGCAGTCGATATTTCTTGCTTTGGGCCTCACTTCAATCCACCGTGTTGGTAATGAAATGTTTTCCTTCGGTGAAAATGTTCTTCTGTCCAGACTTATTTATTTTCTTACTTATTTATAGCCCACCTCAATCCACAAAGGATTTGGGGTAGCTTACCAAAGAAACAGAAAGTATAAAACAGCGTTAAAATATCAGTAAGGATGAAGAACCAGGACCAAGGAAAATGTAAATAAACTTGGAGAAATAAGAGCCGAGCTCAGTACTTGCAGACAATTTTTATTGAGTTCTTCCTGTGTGCAAAAGAATTTGCCTAATTATTTCACTTCATCCTGGAAGGAGCCCCGTGAGGTGGATACTATTCTTATCCTCATTTCAAAGGACGGGGAGCTGAGAAATGAAATTTGATGTGCGAAGTCTTGTGGCTAGAAGTGGTAGAGCCAGTCCTTGATGCCAGTTTGATATTTGAGCTCATGCCCTTAGCTGCTGTAGCATCTTGCCTTACCAAGGGACAAAAAGTCCACACCCATAGGGGCTGGGGATTTAGCTCAGCGGCAAAAGCGCCTGCCTGGCAAGCACAAGGTCGTGAGTTCGGTTCCCGGTATTGGAGAAAAAAACCAAAAAAAAAAAAAAAAAAAAGTCCACACCCTGCCTTGATCTTTGCTTTTATGATGGCATATTTTGCCTTTTAATGTACAGAATGTTATAATATCATATACTTCCAATGAGGGGGTAATTACAAATTTATTACAGTAAAAGACACATTGCCATTAACCCCCCTCAGACTACTCCAAATGCTCCCCCGCACTTTGAGCACACTTATCCTATTGTTCTTGGCAATGTGTCTTTTATTTTTATTGTAGTAAGTTTTTGAAATCTAAATATTCACTCTATTTTTCAATCACCTCTTCCCTATTGCATGTTGCATATGTTCTGTGCTATATTCTACATTAATAAATTTATTTATGAATTATGTTAGCTCTTTCCCCTACTTCATATATGCACTGTTTAAATGTCTGTCTTCTCCCACTAGAAGACAAGGTCCACATAGGCACAAATCTTTTATCTTTTCCACCATTGATCTATTCTAGGTGTCCAGGATAATGCCTGGTATAAAGTAATTATTCACTCAATTTTTGTTGAATGCTAGAACGATTATTTTGGAGGTGAAAAAATAGACCTATATACCTAAAGTGCCGCAGTGGGTTACTGTTTTTGTTAGGTCAAACTCTCCCTTCTCTCTCCCTGTATTTCCCCCTTTTCCACTACTCATTCCCCTGAGGAACTTGGAATAGTTCTAGCACTCAGCTCTAAGAACCAGTCTTCAGGAGAGTTTTCTGATGGAAGGCCCACAGGATCCACATTGCCAAGGGGATTTAGGAACCTTATTTTGAGGGGATCTCTAAATGAAAGCCAGGAATTCTCCCTATATCTTTTAGGAGTCTAGGAATAGTGCCCAAGTTCCATATATTAAGGACTTGGGATTTAGGTCTGACGCTATGAGGATGGAGATGGGAAAATAAAAGCAGCACTTTTGGAGGAAATAATTGATTTGAAGGGGGAGGCCATCAGGGTGTTCTAGGATCTCACCTCTGGAGTTGTATTTCCTGGCTGCGATCCTGAAGGGTGAAAACTGACCAAGGGCATTGGTAAGCTTTCTCAGAGGAGAATCTGAGCCGAGACCAATTGCTTGGGTGTGTGCCGGGCGGGGTGTGTGTGTGTGTGTGTGTGTGCGCGCACACACGTGTGCATCTGGTGTGCTGTGAGCTTCTCGGAAGGGCTGGCTACAGACTGGGCAGAGCCTCGGGGAGTGGCCGACCCCAGCCTGGCAGCTCGAGGTGAAGGTCGAGGTTGTCTGGCTGCTGATCTCTTGAAGTAATGTGGGACACACTTGTCTCAGGAGGAGTGAGAATCAAAGCTCCGTCTGTTCAGTGCTCAAGCACTGAATGAGTATATTATGAGAGCCTCCCCTGAGTTCACTTCCGCTGCAGAAGTGGGGTACACATTAGTGAACAAACAACGTCCCTGATCTCAGGACACACACACACACACACACACACACACACACACACACACACACACACACATCCCTGACACACAGACAGTGAGCCGGGTTAAAATAAGGAGGAACAAGATCAGGTCAGATAAAGGTAAGTGCAGCGAAGGAAAAGGAGAGAGGGCAGGTGGACTGGGATCGGAGGTGGACAGCAGCCGCTTTCAACTGGGTGCCCAGCGAGGGTCTCCCTGGGGAGATAGCATTTGCGCAGATTTCAGCTATGAGAAGGAGCCAGCCGCTCAGCACAGGGCAGAGCTTCCTGGGCAAGCTTCTAGGGATGCGAGTGAG